GGGGGCGTGCGTGTTGTGGTGGCGTGGCGTGGCGTGGCGTGGCGTGGGGGATCGATCAAGGGGGTGGGGGGAAGGGTTTTCCTTTTTCCTTTTCTTCCTGTTTCCACTCCTTTCCTCGTGCTGAGGGGGTGGAAGGAAGGGTTGGGAGAGTGAGTGGTACGGTGGCGGTGGTGGTTTGCATGATAGATACGCCGTATGATACCCGAAAAATTTCAAAGACGTTCACAATGCATTTCGTTGGAGGATGATTGACGACGACGCTGCGGGGAGAGAAGGAACAATGGATGAATTCGTGTTGGTTGGTTGGTCAATTAAGCCGGACGTGGAATCTCTACGGTTTTGAAAGGCTCATCCATCTATCTCTCTCATACATACATACTACACGCCACTGACCTTGTTTTTTTTTTTTTCAGGAGAAGAAGTGCGCACACATATACCATTATTTCAACGCTTATTGTAAGTACTCAGGACCATGCACGTAATGTGATGCAAGAGGGGGGATATTGTGGGGGGATGAGAGGCTGTAAAACGATCGCTATATCCAACGATCCAGGAAAGGACACGCCGGCTCTTTCTGAGCAGAGACTAACTTAATTATAACTCCTCTCTCTCTCTTTCCCAAGCAAGTACGTACGGAGGTACGTACGTACTATACCAAAACATTGCACTTAAACTAGACCGAACATCCACAACAACAACTTGAGTAAGGATTGAAAAGAAACAAGTTTTCTTTCACTCGATACACCCCACGCTTTCTTCTGCTTCGTATTCAATGCCCAAAACAAACCCCAGCCAACAACAATACACAGATCCGAATGCCAACCCTTCCTTCGTTCCCTCCTCCCTCCCTCCGACTCAATTGATGATGATGATGATGATGATGACGGCAAAAAAACTCGTCGTAGCCGCAAAAAAAAAAGAAATTCATTCCCTTGCATACCCCTCGTTCTTAACACCATGACCATGAAACGAGTCTCTCCAATATTAGCCAGGAGGAGGAGGAAAAAAAAAACCAAGAAACCAAAAACCAAACAAGAAAAGAAAAAAACCAGTAGTATATAGGGGTTGTCCGCGTGCAGGCAAGCAGGCAGGGAGAAATATAACCTTCTTCACGCAAGGCTTATGCTGTGCAGATATGACAAATTCATAGGAATGTCGAGAGCCGGATTGGAAAAGAAAAAAAAAAACCCCCAATAAAACCATCCATTCGGTATCAGACAGGACAGGACAGGACAAGGGGGTGAGGGAGAAAAAAAAATCATCTCTTCTTCTTCTTCTCATCGCCGGCGTCTGATTTGTCCGTGTAGTCCCCGCACTTGACGTGGACGAGGCTCTGCTTCGCGGGGCCGCCCTTGCGGTCGGCCTCGATGACGAGGGCGGTGAGCTTGCCGCCCCGGACGCAGCTGGAGTCGAGGCCCTTGGTGAACTCTTTTATCTTGAGGCCCGTCTTGGCGTCGTGGCCGTAGATGACGGTGCTGCGCTCGGCCTCGGGCAGGAAGCGCATGTAGTAGTTCCAGTACTGTGTGCGAGAAACAGAACGGTTAGATTGATTCATGAGCACAGAGAGATGAATGACACCGCGAGGGAGAAAAAAAAATCCTCTTACCTTCCACCAGGGAGTCCCGTCGCGCTCGGCACTCGGCACCTTGGTGTCCAGATCCATGGAGCGCATGTTCATCACCTGAAACGGGTCCTGCCTGTCGAGGTCGACGCCGGGGACGAGGCCGGCGTGGGCGACGAGCACCTCGCCCATGCCCTTGATCTGGCCGACCTTGAGGATGACGGGGCACTGCTCGAGCCACTCGATCTGCTTGGCGTCGAACTGCTTGGCGAGCGCCTTGTCCTTCCTGTTCCCGCCGTTGCGGGCCTCGTCCTCGCCGAGGTGCGAGTTGGCCGTCATGTCCTGCTCGGCCACCCGCATCGCCTTGCGCGAGAGCAGCATGCGGTCCTCGTGGTTGCCGCGCACGCACGACGCGCGCACGTCGCGGGCGAAGTCGACGACGCCCTTGGAGTCGGGGCCCTTGGCGATGATGTCGCCGGTGAGGACGAGGTGATCGGCGGCGGGGCGGAAGTTGATCTTGTTCAGTAGCTCGACCACTGCAAGAGGGGGAGATGATGTCAGTCAGGGTTTTGTGGATGCTATTTTTAGAAGTTTGGGGAAAACGCACGCTCAGACTTGCAGCCATGCACGTCTCCCACGACGACGAGACGTTGGCTGTCGGCGGAGGACGTGGGAAGCAGGCTGGGGTCGAGGGTCTTGACTTGGACCATGTCGGTGAAGGCGGGGCGGGCATTGGCGCCAAAATAGCCGTATTTCTGGGGGCCAACCAGGGCGTTGCTGAGGCTGTTTTGCTCGGCCCAGTAGGGTCCCAACAACCACTTCCACGAGACGGCCATGAAGATTATCGAAGCGACAACGGTGAAAATGGCGCGCTGGATGCGTCGTGGGATGCGCTGGGCGGCGATCAGGGTCACTAGCGCGGGAGTGTACCAGTTTTGTTTGTCGCGGTAGTAGAAGTCGTCGTCGTCGTCGTCGTCGTCGTCGCTGGCGTCCTTGCGCCACTGGTTCGTGACGTTGTCTATGAGCGGGCGCTGCTGCTGCCAGTTGCGACTGTCGCCGCGGGTGCGGTGGAGCGGGAGCTCGTCCTCGCTGGTCACTTCGTACTCCTTGAAGAGGCCATTGGTGCCCGGGGTCGCCATGTATCTGTAGTCGAAGGGAGGCGGCGAGTAGGCGGAAGCAAGGGCGGCGGACGCGGAGCCGGTGGTAATCGAGGGACGGCGAGAAGGCGCGGGCGACGGATGCGGGTGGAACGGCTTTTTGTTGGAGGGGCGGTAGCGCGAGGGCTGGTGTCTTGTCGCAGTGGGTCGGTTGTAGCTGGAGGATGCCTGTCCTAGGGCAACATCGGAAGCGCGTGCCGGCGGTGCAGGAGAGAGCGAATGATGTGGCAGCGGGGGCGGGGGCGTGCTGAGGGCGGCGGCAGGCTGGGCTCTTGGGTGGTGATCCGGGGACGGGGCGGCGGAGGGCACTGGCAGGCGGGAGTCGCGGCGGCGCTCGGTGAAGCTGTCGTCACCCTCAGGCGTGCGACTCCTTCTGGAAGCCATGTGCACGGAGGCGGCAGGGCAGCGACAGGGCAGCGACACCGCCGGGCCTTTCCGGAACAGGCAAGCGCCGGCAGCGAAGGAGATGTCGATCGGCCGCGGGCGAGAGCGGGTACCCACCAGGCTCCCTGCGTCACTGCGTGTCGCGATGGCTAGCCGGGCAGCGGTGCAGAGGTGCGGTTTGGCTTTGCACGCGGGGAGTAGCGTGGCCCAGCAGAGCCGCGGTCGTCGCGGCGGCCTAGGGCGCTGGGCCAGCAAGGGCGCGCCATCGCGAGGCGGCGCCAAGCCGCAGCGCGCGCTGTCGGACCACTGGCAGCGCCCTCCAGCCCCGTGCCTGTCAGCCTGCGTGCCTGACGGTCAGCCCAACGCCGGCTGCTCTCCTCCCCCACCGCCTCAGGCCTCTCGCCGCCGCCGCCGCTCTTCCTTCTGCCTGGGAGCTGGTTCTGCATGGACTCGCCACGCGCCCCGCACAGCCTCTCCAAGATGAAGAGCAAACACAGCACCGGCTCCACCGTCTCCAGCCTGCGCAGCCTGTCGTCGCGCGAGGGCCAGCTGAGCATCGAGAGCGTGTCGTCGCCCACGCCGCAGCCGCACGCCGCGACCGACAATGACGTCCCCGCCAACCCCAACCGCATGCGCGACAACCTCAAGATCACCGTCATGGGCTCGCAGGGCGTGGGCAAGTCGGAGCTCGTCAAAAAGGTACTGCGCGCTCCACCTCGTCCTGGCCCCTCAGTAATCGGCTGACCCCTGTCCAATAGTATGCCTACGGACATACGCACTTCCGCTTCAGTCCGGGCGACCGCATCAGCGGCTCCAAGCGCGTCTGCCTCAGCAACGGCGACGACTACATGCTGTCCATCAACGACACCTTCTCCGTGCACATGGAGACGGCCGTCGCCGCCCACCAGATCGGCCAGGCCGATGGCGTCATGCTGGTCTTCGCCCCGACCTCGAGCGAGAGCGTCGACGCCATCATCAACGTCTTCAACTTCATCGCCGCCCAGTTCCGCGACACCAAGGGCCGCAAGACGCTGCCCGTCGTCGTCGTCGCCAACAAGGTCGACCTGGAACTGCCCGAGGAGCAATTCGCCAACCTGCAGCGAGGCGCCACTTTCGCCCGCGAGCGCGGCATTCCCTACTTTGAGACGTCGGCGCTCACCGAGCAGGGCATCGACGATGCGTTCGGCGGCATGGCCGAGCGCATCGTCACGTCGAAAAAGGAGAGGCAGAAGGAGCCGGACGACCTGTTCAAGAAGCTGAAGCGCAAGCTGCAGGGCAAGTGAAGTTGCCGGCGGTTTTGTCTCAGCCCCACCCTTTTCCGTTTTTGTCTCTCTTATTTCTCGTTGTTCTCTCCGTCTGCAAGCGTTGAGCGTTGATACCCCCCAAACTTGGCAGACGCAATTGTTTTTCAGCAGGATCTCGCAAAAAAAGACCAGACGCCAGCCCCGCCATCCACACGACAGTGCCACATGTCGGGCCGAGCAAGCGCTGTACCTAATCGACACTTGTGTAACCATCCTTTTCCGGAGAAGGCACGTGGGGATCGATGGCAAAGCTTCCTTTTTCCCGGTTGATCCGAAGCCATTTCAGAAACTCACACGAATGGAACATGCACGTCTCGTTTTAATGAAAGGATGACTCTTGGGGGGTTGGTTGGGCTTGTGGCGAGGCCACGGTCAATACTGTTTATCTACTTTATGTTACATGGAATCCAAGCAGGGTATATAGGAGGAGTACATTTGTGGTATAACGCTCAACAGACAAGGTTAATGTTCTATGTATGTATAGGAATGGGATGAAAGGGCGGCGAAAGATGGCGGTTTTCTTTGGAGGTATTATTGTCCTTTCTCTCGTATCTTTTTCCCCCTCCTTCACTTCCATAAAAAGCTAGCTCCTAGCGAACAAAAACAAAAAAGTCTCATGATACCCTCCCTCAAAAACTCCAACTGGCTCGGGAAAGTGCAAAGAAAAGGAAAGGAGAAAAAAAATGCCAGATGTCCTCCAGCGCCAGCCCAACGCGCCGTACGTCCAACACAGCATCAACGAAAAGAGTAGGTAAATCAAACACAAGAACGTTCGGCAACGAAAAACCAGCAACGACGAGCCACCGCCGTCAAGAAGGATGCGGACAACGTTTTAACCTTTCCGGCGCGCGCCCTGCAGCGGAGAAGGATCGTGTTGGCGTTGGTTAGCTACCTAGGCCGGCCCGGCGGCGTCTGCGGCGCGGCTTGTGGGGGCGTCGCAGGGCTGCTGGTGTGGCTCCGGTTGGTCCGTGCCGAGGCTGATGCTGATCCCTGCAGCCGTTCCCCGCGCAACTTGGGGTATGACGGTCACGTGACTTTCCGATTCGGGCGGGTATTCCGACGACTGGTTTGATGGACTTGACGGGGTGACGGTGGTGGTGGTCATCGCGTTGCGCAGGCTTGAGGGGGCTATGGTATTTGCGCTGTCCGTCTGATGTGACGACTGCTTTGTGTGCAACCAAGACGAGAGCTTTGCTGCTGATGACGAGAGCTTTGCTGCTGATGGGTGGTGGATTTTTGTCAAAGTCAAGTCGGACGGGGGGAATGTGATGACTGACGTTTTCGAGATGAAAGGGCGTGTTTGAGGTTCTGGATGGCCAATCTGGCTCGCGTCTCTAGCCTGCCCTGCTTGACTGTGACCATGATGGCCAAGTCAGCAAGCGAAGGGGGATCGTGGTTGTGTGGCATCATGAACACTTTGGAAATTTTGGCGGATTTTTGTATGACCTGACGGAAGCCGCAGGCATGAGGCTGCTGAGAGATTATCACTAGCTCGCACGGACAGTCAACGAGCAATGATCCGCGAAGCTGACCATGCCCTGCATATGCATGCCGCAAGCTCGCCACTGTTCCTCCGCTTCGCGTCCGATGTATGGCCCGATTGCCTTTTCCACTCTAGAGATGTACTTCGTCCGTTTCGTTGATCTCCAATGGTCGTGGCCAGATGCCGAGGCCAGGATCGCGAAATATACTTATTCAACGAAGTTGGACTTATTTTCTGCGACCGATTCCACACAGGGCGCTTCGCCTCTCTATGCGAGATCTGAGCGAGGCGAACACCACATGTCTGCCTCGTGAGTAGGCTGTGCAGGGAATCGGTCAAGCCTTGTCTCACTGAGTGATTCCCACACTCTCGCGATTGGCTTGGCTGGGCAGCAAACCTGATTTACGGCAGCGCTCCTGCGCCTGTTATCAGCCCAGTCGCCCCCCGCCATTTCCGAACTGACAGATATCAACACGTAGCTTCAAGCCGCCGGTAAAACTCGTTCAAATGGATCAAGCAAGAAACTCTACGCAAGTACAGTCATTGAATGAGATGGAAGAGGGTAGCAAGACGCATGGCTCGACTAGAGTGCAGAGATCGTGGAGGGAATATCCCGACGGCTATCCACGGTTTGCAGCCTTCCTGGTCGACGACCCTGACAAAAGCCGGCACCATTTATCGCAGATTTGACCGAACTGCCGCACGAAGCCTCCTTTACCTCGAGAACGAACTTGGCGCACTTCAGGCCCGACTCGATGGCCTAGAAGAAGAATGCGATCTCGATACCCTGACACGCCCATATCTCCGAGACTGGGATGCTCTGAATATGGCTGCGGACGGGGGCGATAATAAAGCCGCGGATATCCGAAACCTGGTACTTCAGATCAGAAGAAAGGTTCAAGAATACCGTACGCTCATCTACTCCCACTTTGCTCACTGCCGTTTGTGATTGTTAATAAATCCCAGACGAAGCGCTCATACGATTTGAACAAGCCCTGTCCTTGGCTTCTCCAGAACGCCGAGCACTGAAAGCTACACGTAACGTCTTTGCTAAGGACGATGGGTGGAGAAACTCACCAGAGGCCATGATCACTGATGGGCTGAGTAAGCACTTGATTGAGAATGAGCAGGATCTCTGCGCTCTGAGAAAGCTTCCTGAACCGGACCGACTTACACGACTGTTCGAAGGCAGACTTGCCTTTCTTTTCCGGGTAAGTTTCCACGTCTTCTTTGGAGATGGACAAATGACTATTGACTAACATTCCCCAGGAGAAAGTTAACGGCCGGTATGTTGACTACGTCAGACACCAATCTGTTGAAAGAGTGGTAAGCGCAATAAGCTCCATCCTGGCAGCAATCTTCTTGATCGGCGCAGTTCTCGGGCTCTACTTTGTCGAGTCCCAGCATGCTCGGCTCGGAATGCTGTGCGGATTCACACTAGCCTTTGCCGGATCGCTGGCGCTGCTCACAAACGCAAGACGACAGGAAGTCTTTGCTACAACGGCTGCGTAAGTAGCCGTACATCTCTGACGAAACCTGATACCGCTGACAGTCCATAGCTACGCCGCTGTTCTTGTGGTCTTTCTAAGCGGCGACTTTGCTCAGAATACAGCTACTTCTGCTGCATCACCCACGGCAACTGCTGCGATCACTGTGACCTCCACCATCTTCACATCCGCTACGGTACAATGACCGTCCACGACAGGGCTCGCAGCAAGCGCAAGCGGATTGTCAATCTATCAAGCAATCGGATTGCAAGCGGCCATAGAGACCCGATTGACAGGGGTTTCAAGCGCAAGCGCTTGAGCTTGCAATCGGGCTTACCACCCCCGATTGCAAGCGGACCGCTTGCGCTTGGATTGATTGATAGATTGACAAGCGCTTGTCAAGCATTTATACGTTATTCTTTTTATATAGACCTTCAGCTCTCTTTAGAGTAAGAACTAAGCCTATTATAGTAGAATTATGACGTATAAATGCTTGACAAGCGTTTGTCAATCTATCAATCAATCCAAGCGCAATCTTAGCCGATTGATTGATTAACCTGAAGACCCCTCTTGGATTGCAATCGGACCATCGGACCCCGATTGCGCTTGTCAATCAGATCAATCGCGAGCCCTGCAGTCCACGACCCAGGGTATTTGTACAGTACGCACAATTTGAAGGGTGGCTGTGTCCTTCTCTTGAAGATATTTCCCGAAGCGTTGGTATAAGAAAGGCGTTACTCGACGTCCAACGGCTTCCGCCCATAGACACAGCAATTCCGGTCAACCAAGCCATCAATCACTTCAGCCTAAACGTACCTCCATGTCGTTATGCAGATGTATAGCCCTGTTCTTCAGCCCTTTCCTCAACTCAGCCACACGTACCTCCAGCTCTTTCTTCTTCCCCGAAGCCCAGTCAAGATGCGCATCGAGATTCGAGAACCCCTCCAACACATCCGCGAAACTCGCCGAGTTAAATAACCCAACCAGTTTCTGCAACACCCCACGTCAGCATCCCAGTTCCCCAATCTCCCATTCTCCCTCCCCACGCACCACCCCAAAAAAGAAATGGAAATTAACCTCACCAAAAACCCATCCCTCGCCCACGCCCCAACCGGAAACACAAACCTCTCCACCCAACCCCTTGAACCCTGCATCCCTCACCCAACCCTCCAAGTTCCAGACTCGCCTCCACCCCCATCCCCCACATCCCCCTCCCCCATCTCCCTCAAATACCTCCTCAAGCACAAATTCCCGCGCACCGACCCACACCTACATCAGTAAGCCTGCCTGAAGACCTCCGCACTATGGTTCATGTGATGAAAGAGCTCGTGGCAGAAGCTTGAAATATCCTACGACAACAAAGTCATCAGCAGCCGGCGGAATGGGCTCATTGACGGGGATTCCTCTGTACCCGAACTGTCTTCTCTGTACCTGCGGTACCGACGACCGTTCTCATACTCATAGTTGGTGGTCGAAGAACTTCATGACGACGTGTTCGGCCTTGGAGTGTTTTCAAATAGCTTCGTCGTTGTCTCGCATGGCGGTTACAAGGGGTTGTGATGTGAGAGCGTGAGCGGGGGAATCGCATGTGGAGCGGAGACGCACAGGGCAGACTCGTATGTAGGGTCCCGTCTCGTTGGGTACCTGCTCGAAGGATCAAGCTGTCGATGTTGTCCCGAGCACGCGGCTAGTACCCTCATACCTCCTCAGCCTCGATGTGGCGGGGCGCAGGGTTCTCCGTTGGCTGAGGCGTGGTTGTCCTTCGAGATGGAGGACAAAATGCTGACTGTTTGGGGGAACGCGGCAAAGGAGACCGACTTGAGAGTGAGATTCTACCCGGGCAGGTGGTTGCAGTGTGTTTCACTCACTTATGTAGGCTTCTGCGCCGCATGAGCTCGGCTTCTGCAGCTCCGATTCCCCTGTGGGCGCAGCTAGCACGTCCAACGCGACCCCTGTGTTTTTAAGGCCGAGTTGCATGCACAGAGCTGAGAGATGTTATGGCACCCGTGCCCGGATGACTTCCTTGATTTTCAGTTCTATAAAATCGACACGGTGGCAGACCACGCTGTTGTTGTTGTTGAATGAGTGGATTCACAGCGTGGACTTAAGGTGTAGACGTACTCTCGTTGAGGCCAAACCCTCTACAATGGTGCGAAGAAGCCAGTGCATTTTCTCTTGATGAAAACAACCATAACCGAAAGCAATGACCTCCCCCCACAGCCACGACCAAAAGCGAAAGCTTCTCTTCTCACTATCTCCTGAGCCAGTCGAGGTTGTTCAGTGTAAAGTATTCACCGGTGGAATCGTCGGGGCCCCAATCGTCGGGTAAGCCGTGCAGCGCGCTTATGGAGCTCGATATTAACTCTTCTTAAAGTAGCCCATTTTCACCGAGCTTTGCCGAAATTTGATGCACAATTATGGTGCATGTCCTGTAGCTGTGAATGTCGAGTTTGTAACGGGCTCATCCGGTTCTTCTTCAGTCCAGATCGACTGTACGACAAGAGTGCTGTTCGTGTAGACTAGCGGTTCTGTCGATTGCCAGGCCCATGGAAACACTGATGGGGCGTTCGCTGTTCCGTCTGCCTTACAGAACACCGCGGGGTTTTTGCGGAGGCTAGTCGACCAGTTGGGATGATTGTTGGTCTATCTCTTCCTTGATGCAATACTCGAGCAGGTCAGTGGCGATAGATGCTCGCTGACGCCCGTACAGACAGAGAAGGGTCCGACACTACTATGTTACGGCTCTAACCATGTTCATTCTTAGATACTGAAGAGTGAACTGTAGAAATCCGCTTCGTGGTGCGAATCAGCAGACAGGTTGACTGTAGGGTAAGAACTCAGCCACATTAAGTAGGAAGAGCCATAATCTCTCATAACTCACTGGGGTTCTTCATAAGGACCATAGAAAGACGCGTTTGCGAGATAAATAATTCGGCTCTGATCCCCGATACTATCGTAGTAATATCCCACAAGGCTCTGGATAAACAGATCAACGGCAAGTGGGGGGGCCACACGATGGTATCGATTCTGCCGCTCCCGCGCACATCATGCAAAGCCGTATTAGTAGCTTATGACCGAGGGAGTCAGAACTGATGAGACCTCTGGCGGCTTTGTGTCTTAACTAACTCAATAGCCCTCAACTTACGGCAGTTTTCAGCAGATCCAACGAGGGCACGACGGTGTGTTGGTGCCCAAAGCGTATGTTTTGTCAGTAAGTGAATGATACGCCTGGCCGATGATGTCTTCATCCAGATGTCCGCTGTTTCCGGCCAGTGGATCATTCTGAGTTCACCCACTAGCGCCGAAGCTGCATACTTATGAGAACAAAATTCTGCAGGCAAGCCACGTTCCCAGGTGCCAGGATCTGTCTTCAAAAAGAAAATCATGAAAGGTGTGATGTGAGACAAAGTACTGGGTCGGGCGCCATCGGTCGCGGGATGGCCGTTGTAGTAATGTTGAAGCCAGCTGTCGAGATGCTGTCGGTGTTGGCTGTTGCTGTGCTGAAGGTGCCGACCTGAACTTCGACAAGGCTTTTACAACAGGCTTTTGGACGTCTTTCAGCTAGAATCCATCGTTCTTGAAACCCAACAATGCTCAATTGATTTGGACGACTGTTGAGGGCTAGCCCGACGTCTTCAAGCAAGAACGACCATGCAGGCAGTTTAGCGGCTGCGAACGTTCCAGCGCAACTTTGGACAAGCATGGGATTTTGGTTTTGTATACTGTCTCGACTTGGTTGAGGATATGCGTGAAAACTTCCGAGAGTTCAGATATAAATGAATGAAGCCGCTTCCGAAGCATGGCCTGTCCCAATTACCAAGGCTGTTTTTCAGGGACCTGATCGCCAGGGCAACCCAGAGGAAGACACCTTGCGCTTTGGCGATGATCTCAAGAGTAATATCATCTATTAGGCTGCTGAAAGGTGTCATTGGGTAGCCTCGCGCCACGGCTGTTGACAAACTGTCCTGGACGTAACACGCAACGTCATCCCTGTTCAAGTCCTCGGGATATTTGAATATCCTGCAAGGAAATTTAATGTAGTTGATACTCCTTGCTTGACAGATTGCAACTGGAGCCTATCATGAGTCAGTATGCAGATAAAAAAGAAACAAAGAAAAAGAAAAAAGCACCGGGGCGTACATGCTGCTGTTCCGAAGGTGCAGGGCAATCTGTTGCCAAAGCATTGAGAGGCGCTTCTGCATGTCATCCACTTTGTCCTTCTGTATGTAGGACTTGATGGCTAGACGAATGCTTTGCAACTTCGAGCGTGACTTGTCTTGAAGACTTTTGAGCATGTCAAGCAGCTCAAGGGCCAGTTCTTCACTGTCTTGCGAGCTGAAGGATTGTTGGGTCGGCAATAGCGCTCTGTGCATGGGCGGGCCCCGCTTCAAGAGATTGGCGTATACGTCGTAGGTTTCCATTATGCAACCCACCTCTTCTGCATGGGGGCAGCCTCTACACTTGTAGATATCGCGAGCCTCAGAGAACAGTTTCGCCCCGAATCGTCAATGACAATGCGCATGGCATGCATGCACACGATACAGTCTTATGACGAATCAGACTGAAACAATTTTGCGGAAAAGGAAAAGGAAAACATTATGGTAGCATTTTCCTTTGTAATGCAGTGATCGGGTATCAAAAGTCGTGTGAATGGAGGCCTTCATTTAATCCTCAGTCGGGGACCTGCTCCCTCTGCGGCTCCGGTCCTCAATCTCTCCGCTCTCTTCTCTCTCGTCCCTATCCCTGTCCCTACCATTCTCCATATCCTCATCCTCATCCTCATCCAACCGCTCGACCTCATCTCCCAACGGGCTCTCCCTCGGATCCAGCAAATCCAAATCCTCCAGCAACGTCCTCGCCGGCATCTTCCACAAACTCGTCGCGCACACGCGATCCTTGGTGAGCAAATCATCCACGAACTGATCCACAAACGTCAAGACAAACCCGTCCCTCATCCTCCTCTTCAGCTTCCGATAATCCGCCAACAACGGCTCCAACGTCTTATAAATCTCCACCGGCTCCCACGCCAAGCGGATATAAAACGCCGCCAACGCCCTCAAATACTTGAACTCGCCCTTCACGCCAGGCGCTCTACTCTCATCCTCCTCCTCCCCGTCCCCCTCCCCGTCCCCCTCATCCCCCTCATCCCCCGGCCAATTCAAATACGCCAAGATAATCTCCTTCTCCGGCACCAGCTGCAGCAGCTTGAACGCCAGACACAGGAACGGGGTCGGCTTGCCGAGGCCGCCGTAGGTGCCGCCGACGAAGGCGAGCTCGGCGGCGCGGTCGCACAGGGTGGCGGCGTTGAGGCCGAAGCACTGCTCCTTCCAGTAGTACGACTCGGTGATGCGGTCGCGGACGGCCTTTTCGAAGAGCAGCGCCGGGTTCTGCCCGCGGATCAGCGCGCCGCTGTAGCCGCGGTCGTCGAGGAGCGCTTTGGCGTCGGCTTGGTGGGTTGACATGGTTTCCTTTTTTTTTCTTTTTTCTTTTCCCTTTTTTCTTTTCTGGTTTGATCTGCGTGGGGTGTGGGTGGGCGGGAGTGGTGGCGGTGGTGTGGGTTCGTTGCTCTTGCCCCGCGGGCCTGTGGAGGGTGTGAAGGCGAGTACGCGGCGGGTGAGGTGGGTTGCGGTTGTGTTGCGCTAGGCTGTGCGAGAGGCGGTGCAAGGCGAGGGATGTGCCCGTTGGCTGTGGTTCGGTAGAGCGGGGGGAGCCACGGCGGTTGATGCGTCAGTGCTGGGGGAATTGGGGCGTGAGCGAGCGTGGAGTGGGCGGTGGCGCAAAAAAAGCTTCGGTGGTGAGCTTGCAGGTGGTGAAGCGCAGCTTTGGCACGGGCCCCGGGCGGTGACAGGCGCCAAGCGCCGTAGGGCTGATGATGGACTCTGTTCTGCCTGAGGCATCAAATCTGGGTGGCGGCTACGAGAGTTCAATTAGAATTGCGCCACGATCATCATTCTACTGGCTCGTTAATCTCAGTCGCTGCTGCCAATAAGAGCGGCCTATTTTTGGGCTGATATCGCCAGGCCCAGCGACGGCCGGATGATTCCGAGCACAATCGAGATCCGGGTTGCACCAAGCCCCTTTTATCGCGGCTTCGGCGGGCGCGAGAACACAGGTGCGGTGCATCTGCTGCGCTGGCAGGTGACCGGTCGCGGCTCAGGGTGAAGAGCTGGCATTTTTTGGGGCCGCGCCCCTGAGTAACTGGTTGCGGAGATGGGTGTGATGATCGTGGAGACGACGGTAGATGATCCGCCGTTCAAACGTCCGCTGGAAATGCCGCAAGCACAGAAAGCAGAAAGCACGGCTGGCAGCTGTGACCGCTGTGACCGCTGCGGCGAGTCGCGCCCTCGGCTAGCTGAGCCGTATAAGCGCGCCGCATTATACACAGAACCCGCCTGTTTGCACGCACCATGGCCGGCCGAGGCAATCCCTGTATCGATAAGTCGCGTTGCCCGGCGCAACCACCGCGTGTCCAAGGATTGCGTCGGGCGGCGACGATGACGATGGCGCGCCCAGCTGCTGCCCGCACGCGCAACTGACACACAGACGCGTCAATCTGCTGCGCATCAGCTCCACCGCGTCGTGAACCATGGTGATGCTCACAGGCGGCCAGGTCTCCATGGCCATATCGTCTTCCATAGGTACGCCGTGCTGCGCTGTGGTCGCACAAGCCAAGCGGTCAATCTCTGGAGTGTCCTAACCTGCCTTGCAGTATTCATCTTCACTTTCCTGCTTTTCCTCTCTGGCTACATCCTCCAGCAGCAGACGGTCCGCGGCATCCAGGAAGCCATCAAGCCCCGCCTGCCCCAACCCAAAGCACCCGTGCCTGAGGAGCCCTTCAACCCAAACGCCAGGCTGGCGAGAGTGCTGGGGTCCCGCGACCCCGCCCATGAGAAGTTCATAGCAGAGACACAGGTGGACTGGAGAAAACTGGGATATGTGCAGCTGGTGACGCATCACCGCGATGTCTGCACCGCCGTCATGCAGTTCGCGGAGCTGCATCGAGAAAAGAGCCCCGCCAGCAGGGTCCTGCTTTTCCCGAGGGCCTGGATCGAGGATGAAGAGGACGACGATCCCTACCTTGAAACCAGCAGGAGACTGTTGAGGGCCGCTGCGAGGAGATACAGAGTGGTTCTTAGGCCTGTTGACCCTGTCATCAAGGGCGACGGAGGTATGTCATGCCAATTCTAAAAGTCGTGTCCATGTCACTGACGCTGCACTCTTCCCAGACTCGACTCGTCCGAGGTATTCCCTCGCCAGCTTCTTTTCTCTAATCGACTTCGATCGACTGCTCTACCTTGCTCCATCCGGTATAATCATCGACTCGCTGGCTATGGATGCCCTCCTAGCTTTTGCGGCTTCTCGGAGGCTTGCCGCCTTGCCAGAGGACCCTACCGCATCCCGGATATCAACCGACTTCATGCTCCTACAACCGTCCTTGTCCACCTTTAGGAAACTGTCAGCCGCGCTCAGCGAGGCCGACGTTAGCGACACAAAGCTGTTCCAGAAGATTTTCGACGCCTCGACATCTCTGCTGCCGCCGACGGCCGAGTCCGAAACAACGCTATACTACGAGTCCTCGGAGCTGCGGACGCTCGATGATCCCGAATCTTTCAACTCGACGCAATTCCTGTCTACCACGGCGTACGTGCGTCTAGCCGATCCCGAGCTGCCTGGACCCGAGTATGACGTGCCATACGGTCAGATGGTGCAGCTGCGGCCGAAAGAGGATGAGCCCAGGTGGGTGTGGGAGAAGCTGTATTTCAAGTTCCGAGGGAGCAGAATGGACGTCTGCGGACTCGATCTGCTGATGCCCAGCAAGCCCAAGGTTGCGGCCGCAACGGACGAAGCCAGATATCGCGAGGCCGTGGCGCCGGAGGAGCTCTGACGGCGGGGCAGATTACGATGTTTATGACTCTGTGCAATGCAAGGCGCAAAATATGGGATCAGGATTCGGCGTCAGGATGGATTGGGGCTGCGCAACCGAAATAGCGGGCAAATTGATCTAGGTAATCAAGTACAGCTTCGCAATGCCAGGCTGCATGACGGCTCTTTGATTGTCAAATGGGTTGGGCTCGCTTGATCCGGCGCTGGGCGAGCGGAGGGAGAGGTCTCAAAGCCGTTGTGTGCAGGGCCGGTTGCGTCCCGTCATGGGCCCTTCACATGAAGCAGCAGCACGTCAACAGTAAATCACGCCGGCGCGCAGCGGCTAGTGTGCCCGACAAAGAGGCAGGCTGGCGCACGGCCAGCGCCTCTCGAAGTCAATCTCGTTGCTCGGAGACGCATCGACCGCCCCGTGCGCAACGACTTGGAGCGAGTGCCTGTTTGGGAGCAGGCCTCAAAGGCCGTCTGTTTGCTGTCTCACCCTGTCTCATTTCAGGCCGCCGGCTGCTCGCCCTGGCCGCAATGGCAGCGCGCCTGCCTTCACCGCCAGCAGGCGTCTGGGGCCCGGCCGGGGGCATTGGGCGGGCGACGGCCAGCGGCGACAGGACAGGCGGCGCGGCGCGGGCGACTGCTGCTGGGCGGCCGGGCTGCTGGGCTGCTGGGTTGCGGGATGCTGGATGCTGGCTTGGCGGCCGGAGTCGTTGCGGCCAGCTTGGCAGGCCTTGGGCGCGTCCTCGGGCAGGTGCTTCTTTGTCTGCGGCGGGCGGCGGATTGCAGGCCCTTTGACTGCGGGTGACGTCGTGACGCAGGCTAAAGACCAGTGGGAGCGGAGCGCAGCGGGACGGGCAAGCCAGGGCGGGCGTGCGGGCGTGCGAGCGTGTGCGGGTGAGGGCGCGGCACAGCGGCTGCGGTTGGCGGGCTCTGGCTTTGGCTTTTGGCCGCGGGCTCGCAGCTGGCGGAGGGCGCTGCGGGTGCGAAGAGCACGCCGTTGCAGGCGGCGCTCTTGCGTATTATTAGCCTGCGCGGGCGATTGGCGACTGCGATACTCTCGATGCGCAGGCCGTGCAAGAGCGAGCGTCGATCCCCAAAGCGACCTCCCGTGGCAGATCCCTCCGCTTCGAGCCTAGGGGCAGGCGAATTACGGGCGCGGCTCCAGGCGTGGCCGTGGTGGCCGGTTCCAGGTGCTTGACCTACGCACTATTCCCTTACGCTCGCCCTCCAGCAGTCGACCAGCGCAGCAGCCCGCTCGCCCCTCCCTCTCGCAGAGTAGCTGCCTTCTCCAATCCTCCTCCCCTCCCCCCCGCCGCGGCGCCCCCGTCGACCACTCCCTATCCTCACTCGCGTCCCGAGGCCTGCCGCACCAACACCGCCCCTGCCCTCACGACCTCGCCGTCCGACTGCGTGTTGTTCTGCCGCCGCCGTCGGGCATTCCTGTCTCGACCGCCCCCCGGCCTGGGCCCCTCTGCTCCCTTGCCCAACCGGCCCGCGTCGTGCGTGCGTGCGAGCGAGCCCGCGCCCCAGCACGCATCCCATCGCAGCGAGCGCTGCGCCTCCGCCTCACCAGCATTGCAGCGCCGCCCGCCTGCTTTATACTCGCCCAGCCCGCCGCCTGCCCACGCATCCCCGCACCGCAGCCGGCTGACCGCGACTAGGATCGGCGCCAGATCCACCTTGCAGCACCTTTGGGTTACGGCTCCTCCCCGGGCAGCTCCTCAGGCTGGGCAGGGAATTCCAATTGCCCTGGGTTCGATCGCGGCGCATACTTCATGCCGACTCTAGGCTTCTTGAAAAAAAAGAGGACGAAGGACTCGTCTGGTTCTCGGGACCTCGACGCCGCCCCGTCTTCCCCCGTCAAGGAAAAGGACACCCATTCGGCCATCACCCCCACCGTCTCCAAGACCGGCTCCGACCACCAGCAACAGCACGCATCGCTCTCGCCGCAAGCCTCGGCCTCGCACACGTCTGGCCACGCTCCCCAGGACTCGCTGACGCAGAACACCCGCCCCGCTGAACCTATGAACTCCTCTCAGCCCTACGCGCAGCAGTACGCGACCCCGCAAACAAACTCCCAGAGCCCGCAGCCGTACAGCCCCCAGCCGCAGCAGACGCACAACCTCCCGAGCATACAGAATCTCATCAACCCCGCCAACGGTACCGAAGCATCGCGCTCCTTCAATAATGCCCAGGAGAAAACAATGGCCCAAAACGGCAGCGCAGTGACCCCTGCCGGCAGTCAGCAGGCCGCGACGGCCTCGGTCCGCACCACCAAGGGTAAATACACCCTCACTGATTTTGCCATACAAAGAACACTCGGCACCGGCTCCTTCGGTCGCGTGCACCTCGTGCAGTCCAAGCACAACCAGCGCTTCTACGCCATCAAGGTCCTGAAGAAGGCTCAGGTCGTCAAGATGAAGCAGGTCGAGCACACAAACGACGAGCGCCGCATGCTGCAGAAGGTCAAGCACCCCTTCCTCATCACGCTCTGGGGCACCTTCCAGGACTGCAAGAACCTGTACATGGTCATGGACTTCGTCGAGGGCGGTGAGCTGTTCAGCCTACTACGAAAGTCACAGGTATGGCGCCACCTGTCTCCATCGGCCCCCATCTCGGGTTCGAGCTAACGTGAGCCGCAGCGCTTCCCCAACCCCGTCGCCAAGTTCTACGCCGCCGAAGTGACGCTAGCGCTCGACTACCTCCACTCGCAGAACATCATCTACCGCGACCTCAAGCCCGAGAACCTGCTGTTGGATCGGCACGGCCATCTTAAAATCACGGATTTCGGCTTCGCGAAAGAAGTGCCCGACATTACCTGGACGCTTTGCGGAACGCCCGATTACCTTGCGCCGGAAGTGGTCGCATCCAAGGGTTACAACAAGTCTGTTGACTGGTGAGTTTGCCCCTCTCTCGATTGCCGGGAGAAAGGCGGATGAGCTAAGAAAAGGCAGGTGGTCACTCGGCATCCTCATCTTCGAAATGCTGTGCGGTTTTACTCCATTCTGGGACGGCGGATCGCCAATGAAGATCTACGAGAACATCCTGAAGGGTCGCGTCAAGTACCCGCCATACGTGCATCCCGACGCGCAAGACCTGCTGCAGAAGCTCATCACGCCCGACCTCACGAAGCGTTTGGGCAACCTCCACGGAGGGTCGAAGGATGTCATGAACCACCCGTGGTTCGCAGAGGTCACCTGGGAGAGGCTGGCCAAGAAAGACATTGACGCGCCATATGTTCCCCCGGTCCGGGCAGGTGCTGGCGATGCCAGTCAGTTCGACAAGTACCCCGAGGAGACGGAAGCCTACGGAGCGACCGGCGACGATCCGTACGTTCTTCCCGTATTTTTTTTTTTTGGTTTCTTTTGGCTTTTTGTGCTAACGAGCGGCAGACACGGTACTTTGTTCCAGGAGTTTTAGTGTATTATTTGATTCAGGCCTCTGGCAGTGCGCGGCACTTGAGGGCATGGAGCGTATTGAGCTCGCAGCCCTGCTGCCTGCGGGGCCAATGGCAGCAGACGAGCTTCAGGTGCAGACAAGCACGCGCAATACGGGCAGGTGTGTTAGCCCCTGCACAGTGGGCGACTTCTTGACGAAGCGACGCCGCGTGAAGCATCTTTAGTTTGATCTTGATTTCTTGGGCGTGTTGGCGGGAAAGGTAGGAGGCTTCAACAGGTTGGTTATCATGGCCCTGCTGTCCCATGCTGGCACGCATGTTAGTGTTAGGGCACACATGTTACTTGGGAGTAGGAATGACGGCGGCTGGTGTCATCAGCAAGGGGGGAAACCGGGGGCATTGGGAGAGTACCGGGCGCATGGCTGGCTGGCTGCATCTGACTGCCGATTTGTACGTTGGAGAGAAGACGGGATGGAGTAGGGGGCAGTTTTAGCATTACTCGAGCAACTAAAAAAGTTCCAAAAACGACGCCTTGGGCCGAAGCTCCAGACGAGACTCCCGAGCCGCGAGTGGCATTCGAGCTTATTATTATTATTATCATCATCATCATCATCACATCACCCGGCATCTTGGGTCAGACCCAGTCACGTGCGTGGGTGACGACTTGCCCGATGCAGGGCGTGCGGCAGTACGCGGCCGGCGAATCAAGGTGAAACCCGAGCATTTACGAGGTAATAGCGGATTCCCGATTTGTTCAGCCTGCGGCCAGTTGACCGTCGAAGGGCGACCCTGTAAGGAATACGTGCGTTCGTGCGCGGGTCGGCTGCTGCTTGAGCGAGGCTGACGAGGAGGGGGGTTGGGCAAGCCGGGCGATTTGTAGCAGCGAATAGGCGGTGGTAGAGCGGAGCCACAGATGCAGCAATTGGGGGGGAGGTGACGGGGATAAGAGCGTGCGTGGAGCAGGCAGGGAGTAGTGTGGCTGTGGGCAATTAGCTACCTGGACGCACGGCGGAAGCTTGGCTGGGCATTGCGCGGCGCTTGCTCGGGAAGCGTTTCTCTGGAGCTTGACTGCTGCTGAGGTGCCGCAGCGGCGTTCGCGGCGGGCTGAAGATGGCATTGTAGCACTGTCGTTGCGTCCTAGATCGGCAGCTATCGTCATGGCTGGGGGCCGCATCGACATCGCCCGTGGCATCATCGGCGGCACTAGCAGGGCTGGGAGAATTGAGGCTTGGCCCCCGAGTCATCAGCCTCTTCGCCTCCTGCCTCGCACGACGCTTCTGCCGCGCAGGGAAGACCAGGAGTTTTACGGGCTCTCCTCCGACTGCCTGCGCAGTCTCCTTGCAATGCCAACATGACGGTGCTGTGGTTTGGCAAGACCAGCAAGCGGCGGAAGGAGCCCGCCCACGCCCCGGGAGGAGGCGGTCCTCAGCACCAGCAGCAACATCACCATCACCACCAGACCGCCCAAAATAGCAACCCCGTTCCTGCACCCGCACAACGACTGCACCACGCTTCGCATTCGCAGCCCGCCGCTCTTCCGCCGCCGCCGCCGCCGCCGCCGCTGTCCCGGCCTTCCTCCTCGCAGGGCCCGCACCACCAGCCGCAGCTCGAATTGCCATACCGGCCCGGACCTTATTCTCTCGCGCCGCCGGGATCATCGCCTCGTCTCGATGCCTATCCACCCACGGCCCAACATGGCGGCGGCTACTACCATCCCTCTCAGACGACGCTCACGCTCGTCGAAACGCAGCCGTCGCCGCCCATGGTGATGGTCTCCCCGCCGTCGGCCGCCGCGTCTAATCACTCATCGCCGCCACCCGTATCGTGGTCGTCGCCAGCTCCAGGAGCAGGAGGAGGAGGACCAGGACCAGGACCAGGAGCGCAGCCCCAGATCCCGCCGTCCCCGCCGCCCATGTATCACGCAAACCCGAGCCCGGCCGGTCCCCCTCCTCATTGCCCCCCTCCTCCTCATTATTATTACCATTCTCAAGACCTCAACGCATCGCAGACGTCCTTGGCCTATCAGCCGTCGCCCCCGCAAATGCCCGGCCAATGGGGCGCGCAGCAGCAGCCTCCCCCCTCCCCGCATGTCGTGCCTCATTGGGGGCCGCCGCAGCCATCCCCGCCGATGCAGCAGCAGCAGTTTCAAGAGCAGCAGCAACAGGCCGTCGCCGTCGCGCAAGCACCACCTGCACTACATGCACATGCACATGCACCACCGGTAGTAGCAACCCCACCGCCACCGCCGCAGCCGCCGCAAGGCTCCGCCGCCGCCGCCGCCGGCCGCACCAGCAGCGCCAGCCTCAACGCGCGGGTGAACGGGGCGCTGCGGAGGCCGGGCCAGCTGGCGTCGCAGTCGCTGGGCAGCATCAACGAGAGCTACCGGCAGAAGAAGCTGACGGCGTCGCAGTCGGTGACGAACCTGAGCGACGGCTTGCAGCGGCGCCAGCAGATGGCGTCGCGGTCGGTCAGCAACCTGCACGACCGCACCAACCAGTACATGGCGCACACGGTCGCGCTGTGCGATCTCATCTCGTCGAAGCTGGACCAGGTCATCACGTCCATCGATGACGAGGTGTTTAGCGGGAACGAGCAGGAGCTTGGTAGGTTTTTCTTTTTCTTTTTCTTTTTTTTCTTTTTTTTCTTTTTTGGCGGGCGTCACGGTGGATGACGGAAGAAAGGAATTCTATGCACCTGATTCTATTTTATGGGTAGTGGAAGTCTGGATCTGGATGCATTTGTATGGATTTCGTACTTGCATCTTCATCTGGACATCTACTTCAGCTGCCTTTGGAGAAAGGTCGGAGTCCTTGCGATTGACGAATGATATCGCTGATACCGGTGCAGTCATCTACGAGCACCCTCCGGAGCCGCACCAGAGCTCCCTGGATGTGTCCAAGGGTACCAACAACCCGAACATTGCGGCCGTCGCATCTTCCAGCAACCATTTCAGCAAGGTTTGGCTGTACGCAAACTCGCGGTTGCCGCCGCATCTACCGCCGCTCAAGGTGTACATGCCGACCTGGCCGCTGCTGTGCCTCGCGGCCCAGTATTCGGAGAAAGTCTACCACAAACCGCCGCTCCCGTCGCCCAACGACCCCAACCACGAGGACGACGAGAGCGAGACGCACGTCGAGCCCGACTGGCGCCAGGGGACCAAGGCAATGGTCATCAAGAGCGTGCCGGTCGACGACATGAACACCATCGTCTTCGCGATCCGCGGCAGCGCCGGCTTCATGGACTGGGCCGTCAACTTCCGGCCCGCGCCGACGTCGCCGAAGGGGTTCCTCGACGACGACGGCAACCTCGTCCACTCGGGCTTCCTGTACGTCGCGCGCAAGATGGCGGCGCCCGTCGCGGCCCGCCTGCGCCAGCTGCTCGAGCGCAACCCGAAACGCGCGACGTGCTCGCTGCTGATCACGGGCCACAGCGCCGGCGGCGCCGTCGCGGCCCTGCTGTACGCGCACATGATGGCCGAGAGCAAGGCCGTGCAGTCGGAGCTCAACAGCCTCACGCGCCTGTTCAAGCGCGTGCACTGCGTCACGTTTGGCGCGCCGCCCGTCAGCCTGCTGCCGCTGCGGAAGCCGGACCTGCCGCATACTAACCACCACCACCATCATCGTCACGGTGGCGGCGATGACGCGAGCCAGCGCAAGTGGAAGAAGAGCTTGTTCTTCGGCTTCATCAACGAAGGCGACCCCGTCGTGCGCGCCGACAAGGACGTCATCAAGAACATGCTCCGGCTGTACGCGACGCCCGCGCCATCGACGTCGTCGTCGTGGAGGAAAAACAGCAGCAGCAGCGGGAACTGCGTCTTGTCCGGCGGCGGCAGCGGCGGCGGCGGCGGCGGCGGCGGTGGCCTCGCCAGCATGTCGAGCCTGGCGCTGGCGAGCTCGACGAGCCTGCTACTGCCCGGCAGCAGCAACAACAACGGCAAGAAAGACAAGAAGAAGAAGAAGACCAAATCAAACAGCTGGTCGTCGTCCGCCGCGGCGGCCGCCACCAACGATCCCTCACCTCCTCCGCCCGCTCCCCCTCCTGCGCCCACATGGAACGTCCCCCCCGGCGTCCTCAGCTGCGCCGGCAGACTGGTCTTGCTGCGCGACCGCTCACCTGCCGCCGCCACCGCCTCTGGCACCACGTGGTCGAATAATGGCGGTGGCGATGGTCAGTTGCCGCCGCCCAACCCGCTCGGCGAGGCCAACGTCGAGGCGTGCACGGTGGCGGACGAGCAGCTGCGGGCGGCCGTGTTTGGCGACCCCATGTGCCACATGATGAAGCTGTATGCGCGGCGGATCGAGGTGCTGGCGACGAGGGCGGTGACGGCGGGGGGGATGGGGTTGGGGTGATTGATGGACTTGGGGTGATTGATGGACTTGGGGTGATGGTGGTGGTGTGGAGATGGTGTGGAAACAGAGGGAGAGGGAGGGAGGGAGGAAAAGAAAGTGTGCGTTTGGAGAAAACGGCGCCGGGGTTCTTCGAAGACGACGACAACGATTATGATGAAGGAAAGGGGAGAAGAGAAAAAAAAACAGCGAAACTGATGGTAAGAATGTTGTGGTGGTGCTGACTTGTCTGTTCGAAGTAGGTACGTCCTCTTTTCTTTTCTTTTTCTTTCCTTCTTTCCCGTCTCGGTCGAACGGAGGGGACTCGGGACTTGCATATACCTATATATTTTTGTGGTCTTTCATTCCTTTCTGGCGTCAGGGGAAAACATGAGAGGACAGGGGTGTTGAAGGGTTTCTTTTTTCAAAACTGCTACTTGCTTGGGTTGAGACGAAATTGGGGAGTTCTGGTAGAGCATGTAGTGCATAATGTATACATTACGTACATGAAATGTGTACGGGTGAAGAAGGCCTTGGTAGAAGTGGTGGTGGGGAGATGCGTGAGGTTTGGCGCCGTCCTCTGATATTTACGTTTTGTCTGTTCCTTTATGGCACGAATTCCTGTATTGACTGACATCCATGTATGTGTTTCAACTATGAATGCGCAACGGCGGGGGGAAAGTTGCTCGGTGTAACGCGAAAGAGAGTGTATCATGTTTATGATGGGCTGATGTATCACCACCGTTCACTGAGGTACAGCCACATGCGAAGCCACACGCTTTCAGATGTTCACTGTCCGAACCCGTATCCGTATATATATTGCTCCGACCTGGGACAATGCGATGGTTGGTCATTCTTGGTTCCCTGAAAAGTGTCTCGGCGTCTCGTTCAACTTATTTGGGGACAGGTCCGGCGTTCTCATCCGAATCCCACGTTATCAAGCCGCGCCGGCAAGCGAGGAGTGTATGTACCAAGACGCATCCGAGGCGATGAAGGAGACGACAAGGGAAACAAGTCAAGGAGTTAGCCACAGCCACAGCTGCAGCCATAGCAGCAAATTTCACTGTTGCTGTAGATGACGCAATATCATTCATTCCATCAAACGAAAAAGACTTACACGTCCACTTTCATTCTCACGGGATTGACAAAACCCCCCCGCCCAAACCATTACTCCCCAAGCATCTCGTCTGATCGACCAAAAAACCTCATCTAATACTCATCCCTCCGTCCACCGGCGCCGCCGCGGCCGCCGCCACTGCCGTAGCTGTCACCACCGCCCAGCCCGCCGCCGTACCCGGCCGCGTCCCGATCAGCCGCCGTGCGGCCATATTCGTTCTCGCGGTCATTCGTCGCGTCGTAGCGGTCCTCGACGCCCCCGCGACCACCACCAATGCCACCACCAGCAGAGGTGCCGTACGAATCGCTACCACCACCGATACCACCGCCACCGCGGCTACTGCCGAACGTGTCGTCGTCGTCGCCGCGACGACCACCGCCGGTGGAGGAGCCGTACGTGTCGCTGCCGGCTCCGCGGCCGAACGTATCATCGTCGTGGCGGCGCGAGGAGCCGTAGCTGTCGGAGTCACGGTCGTTGTTGTCGCGGCCGTAGCTGCCGGTGCCGCCGTGGCTGGTGCCGGCGGCGGCGTCGCGCTTGGAGGCACCCTTTTCTTCGAGCTTTTCGCTCTTGAAGACGCTGCCGGCTTTTTCCATCAGCTTGCCGACGGTGGAGTCTGTGGTGGGTGTTAGCCTTCGTTTAATTTTATGGTTATGTGAGAGAGCACTGCTCGGTGATGGGAAAGGGGG